CTCTGTTGAATAAATCAATAAAATCTTAAAAAAAAAAAAGAAATTAAGTAACTAAGTAAAAGGAGGATATTCCATGTTCTTGGATAGGAATACTCAAGATGTCAGCTCTTTCCAACTTGATCTGTAGATTCCATGTAATCCTAATCAAAATCTAAGCATTGAGATGCCTGGGTGGCTCAGCTGGTTAAGCATTTGCCTTTGGCTCAGGTCGTGACCCCAGGGTCCTGGGATTGAGTCCTGCTATGGGCTCCTTGCTCAGCAGGGAGCCTGCTTCTCCCTCTGCCTGCCAATCTCACTGTTTGTGTTCTCTCTCTCTTTCTCTCTCTGACAAATAAATAAAATATTTTTAAAAACTTTCAAAAATCCCAGCTTCATCTTCTAGATCAACACTCTTCATAAAGTTTACATGGAGAGGCAGAAGACTGAATCGCCAAGACAATACTTAAGTAGAAGAACAAAGAGGACTGACACTACTTTAAGTCTTCCTCTAGGGCTGCAGTAAGCAGACAGTGTGGTATTGGTGAAAGAACAGACAGACAGATCAATGGGACAGAATAGAGAGCTCGGAAACAGTTTTATATAAATATAGTCAACTGATCTTTGGCAAAGGAGCAAAGACAACACAAAGAGGCACAGATAGTCTTTTTGACAACTGGTGCCAGAGCAGCTGGACATCTGCATGGAAAAAGAAATAAACCTAGACACAGACCTTACACCTCCCACAAAAATAAATTAAAATGGATCAGAGACCTCAATATGGAATGCAGATTATAAAACTCATAGAAGATAACATAAGAGAAAATCTAGATGACCTTGGGCATGGCAATGACTTTTTAGACATAACTCCAAAGGTGGGATCCATGAAAGAAATAATTGATAAGCTGGACTTCATTAAAATTAAAAACATATGCTTCATGAAAGACAATGCCAAGAGTATGAGAAGACAAGTCACAGACCGAGAGCAATATTTGCAAAGGACACATGTGATAAAAGATTTATTTCCAGGGGCGCCTGCGTGGCTCAGTGGGTTAAGCCTCTTGCCTTCGGCTCAGGTCATGATCTCAGGGTCCTGGGATCGAGCCCCGCATCGGGCTCTCTGCACAGCAGGGAGCCTGCTTCCTCCTCTCTCTCTGCCTGCCTCTCTGCCTACTTGTGATCTCTCTCTCTCTGTGTTGAATGAATAAATTTTAAAAGAAAAAAAAAAGATTTATTTCCAATATACAGAAAAATTCTTAAACACTCAACAATAAGGTAACAACCCTTATGGGCCAAAGATCTTAACAGACTACCTCTCTGCAGAAGATATATGGATAGCAAATCAGCACATGAAAAAATGCTCTACATCATATGTCATCAGGGAAATGTAGATTAAAACAATAAGATACCACTACACACTTACCAGAATGGCCAAAACCCAGAACACTGACAATACCAAATGCTAACAAGGATGTGGAGTAACAGGAATTCTCATTCATGCTGGTGGTAATGTAAAATGGTAGAGTTGTTTTGGAAGTTGGCAGTTTCTTGCAAAACTAAATACACCCTCACCATACAATCCAGTAATCCTACTCCTTGGCATTTACCCAAAGGAGTTTAAAACTTACATCCAGACAAAAACGTGCAGAGGGATGTTTATAGCAGCTTTATTCATAGTTGCCAAAATCTAGAAGCAACTGAGATATCATTCAGGTAGGTAAGTAATAAATAAATTGTGACCCATACAGACAACGGAATATTGTTATGGCTAAGAAGAAATGAGCTATCAAGCTATGAAGAGACATGGAGGAAGGTTAAAGGCTACATACTGTACGATTCCAACTGTATGACACTCTGGAAGAGGCAAAACTATGGAGACAGTAGAAAAGATCAGTGTTTGCCAGGGGTTAGGAGGGAAGAAGAGATGAATAGGCAGAGGACAGATGATTTTTAGGGTAGTGAAACTAATCTGTATGATATTACAATGATAGATGCAGATACATGTCATTATTCATTTGTCCAAATCTATAGAAGGTACAACACTAAGAATCCTTATGTCAATTACGGACTTTGAGCAATAACTATGTGCTAGTGCAGGTTAATCAACAGTAACCAATGCTTCACTCTGACTGGAAATGTTGATAGTGGGGAGGAGACTATGCACATAGATGAAATGGGTATATGGAAAATCTCTTGTACCTTCTGCTCAATTTTGCCATGAACCTAAAACTTCTCTAAAAAAATAAAGTCTATTAAAAAAATCCAAGGCACAAATGTGCTTGGCTTGTTCCAGAAATAGCAAAGAAACCACTGTGGTTTTACTCTAGTGGAAGAAAGGAATGGAAAGAGAGGCAGGGGCCAGGCCACATAAGGCCGCTCAGGCCAAAGGAAGAAGTGTGAAAATATGGGTGTGTAGAGCCATTTAGTGTCCCCTAATGACATGTTTTTATGAAGATGTAATGAAATAGAAATAGTTGATGGTTATAACGATTATGTAACTTATGAATAATATGCTCTGTTTTCTAGAGAAATCTTTTTTTTTTTTTTGAGATTTTATTTATTTGACAGTGAGAGAAGGAACACAAGTAGGGGTAGGGAGAGGGAGAAGCAGGCTTCCTGCTGAGCAGGGAGCCGGATGCGGGGCTCCATCCCATGACTCCATATGATACCATGATCCCATGATACCATATCATGACCTGAGTTGAAGGCAGCCGCTTTACAACTAAGCCACCCAGGCGCCCCACTAGAGAAACCTTTTAAAAACGTGTTACTCTTTATGTCCCTGAGCGAACAGTTACAAATTTCTAATACTTGAGCACATTTAAAAAATATCCAAGACCCTAAGGGGGCATTTCCAGCCACTCAGGTGCCACACAGCCAGGCACCATAGACAGCCTGTCCCTGTCCTTCATCAAACCTGATGACTGGCCTCCCATCAGACTCCTACAAACTGAACACTTGCATGGGCATTAGTACTGCAAACAACCTCTGACATCCAGTAGCTCCTCAACCACTGTTTCTAAGGAGCAGCCCAACCCGTCTGTAAAAGACATCACCTCAAATTCCTGGAATTTCCATACCTGAAATAGATTTTCAGTCTCTCTGTTTCAAAACCTGAAGCATTGCAAGTTTCATGTTACTTAATTAACTCTTTAATCTAAAAAAGTAGCTACCAGATGAATAGTAAGGGTGAAATTCAACATATTTATCCTAAATATTCTAGATGAGCTTCTCATAATTAATAAGTAAAATCAATTATATTTTAGGTGTTTCATAAGTGTTGACTTCATGTTTCCGACCACATAAGTTGTTGACATTGAAATTCAGTGACCTCTGTTGCTTACTGTTAAGAAGGATCGTGACCCAGAATTTTCAGCTAAAAATACTGTAATTCAGAATTTGCTTATAGAGTTGAATTAAGGTTTTTGTATTAGGGATAAACACTGTGGGAGTAATTCTGGTATACTAGGTTGGTGATTTTGTGCAAGATGCTTAGAATACCACAGCCCTTCCTTAGAATAATTGTAAACTCTTCTGGCCTGTTTCCCAGATTTGCTTGAAAAGGGTCAGAGGACAGGCTGAAATTAATGGCATATGAATTGTGAATCCCAATTAGAGGTGTCTTCAAAGGAATAATTAGGCTAGACTTAATAATTATGAGAAGAAAACGCTTCAGGCAAATTACACAGAGAAAGAAAAAAAGATGTGAAACAAGGCAACTTTGGAGATTGGAGTTGATTAATAATTCAGGAAGTGATTTTTAAAAATCTACTTATCTTAAAGATAATATAAATTGAGTGAGACAAAGATGAATGGAGAGAGATGGTCACTGATCTCAGATTAGGAGTCAGATGTGAACACGGGGGTCCCTTCGGGTGCATATGCTCTGGGACTGTAATTTTAGGATCCCTATTCTGTTTACGAAGGAGGACAGGGTTTTTGCCTTCCCAAATAACAGTAACATTAGCAAGAGCGGCAGCAAACACCTGAACTGTACTCCCCATTGTACAGTATCTGCCATGTATTAATCTCTCCCTTTCATTTTCCTCATCTGTAAATTAGGGACCACATGATTATCGAATCCCACAACCACCCCAGGAGGGAGGTACAAGTGACTTGCTCAAGGTCATAACCTAGGTGGTGTCAGAAGGCAGAGTCGAACCCAACAGCCTGACTCCGAACTGAGAGCTCTCTCTCGTCCCCTGCGCTACCTGGTCTCGGGGAGGAGAAAGGACACATTCAAAATGCCAGCTCCCCGTGCCCACTTATATTACTGTAAACTCTCCTACACCGACACCTCCTCCCACCCTCTCTACCGCCCTTAGCCTCTTAATTTGTCAAGCACAACACCTTCCTTACTTTGCTCGAGTCATCCTCCTCCCCTTCTTGCCAGAAGGTTCCAGCGGGTGGAAGATGAAAAAGAGCGGACAGCGCCGGGCACAGGCATCTTGTTTTTCTTCTTGGTGCTGTCGCTAATATCCACTGAAAATCCTTCATTAGATGTGTGGCTAAATTATTCTAGAAGCACTCACTGAGCACTCAGAGTAGGAACGTTTGTCAGGAATGCGACCATTAATTTACTTTCTAGGATACGTTTTTTTAATCTAAGAGCCCAAACAATTCCCACACAAGGTTTCTGAGTGGAAACCTTCACCCGGCGCCTGACCGCGCGGCGCCGGCCTGGAGGGGGCAGTGGCGGCCGCGGAGTGGGCCCTGCCGGCGTGTGCGGCGGCTCGGCCATCGCTTGCTCTCGCCTGGCGCGCGGCTCTCGGCCGTGGATTAGCGCATCTGGGTACGTGGGAGGCCGCGGGCCCCGCCCCCAGCCGGCGGCGGCGGCGGCGGCCCAGGAAGGCAGTCGGCGCTGCGAGCGGAGCGGCGCGGAGGACGCGACCGGCGGGCCGGGGCGCGGGGCTGCGCGCTGTCTTTTGGGCTCCGTTCCGCGCGCCGGGGCGCAGGAGACACCGCGGACCCCTCGGGCGGGCCCCGGGCTCGCGGCGTAGGGAGTCGGGGGCCGCCCGCCGGGGCCCCGGGACCATGGCGCTGCGCGCCCGGGCGCTGTACGACTTTAGGTCGGAGAACCCGGGTGAGATCTCGCTGCGGGAGCACGAGGTGCTGAGCCTGTGCAGCGAACAGGACATCGAGGGCTGGCTCGAGGGGGTCAACAGCCGCGGCGACCGTGGCCTCTTCCCAGCCTCGTACGTGCAGGTGATCCGCGCCCCGGAGCCTGGCCCGGCGGGCGACGGCGGCCCGGGAGCCCCGGCTCGCTACGCCAACGTCCCGCCTGGCGGCTTCGATCCCCTGCCCGCCGCGCCGCCCGCCTCCTTCAAGCCGCCGCCCGACGCCTTCCAGCCGCTGCTGCAACCGCAGCAGGCGCCGCCGCCGAGCACCTTCCAGCCGCCGGTCGCGGGCTACCCGTATGGCGGGGGCGCCCTGCAGCCGTCGCCTCAGCAGCTCTACGGCGGTGGCTACCAGGCCAGCCAGGGCAGCGACGATGACTGGGACGACGAGTGGGACGACAGCTCCACGGTGGCCGACGAGCCGGGCGCGCTGGGCAGTGGCGCGTACCCGGACCTCGACGGCTCATCGTCCGCGGGCGGCGCGGCCAGCCGCTACCGTCTGTCCACGCGCTCCGACCTGTCGCTGGGGTCCCGCGGCGGCTCGGCGCCCCCGCAGCACCATCCGTCAGGGGCCAAGAGCTCGGCCACTGTAAGCCGCAACCTCAACCGCTTCTCCACTTTCGTCAAGTCAGGCGGCGAGGCCTTCGTGCTGGGCGAAGCGTCTGGCTTCGTGAAGGATGGGGACAAGCTGTGTGTGGTGCTGGGGCCCTACGGTCCCGAATGGCAGGAGAACCCTTACCCCTTCCAGTGCACCATCGACGATCCCACCAAACAGACCAAGTTCAAGGGCATGAAGAGCTACATTTCCTACAAACTGGTCCCCACTCACACGCAGGTGCCGGTACACCGGCGCTACAAGCACTTCGACTGGCTGTACGCGCGCCTGGCCGAGAAGTTCCCCGTCATCTCCGTGCCGCACCTGCCCGAGAAGCAGGCCACCGGCCGCTTCGAGGAGGACTTCATCTCCAAGCGCAGGAAGGGCCTGATCTGGTGGATGAACCACATGGCCAGCCACCCGGTGCTGGCGCAGTGCGACGTTTTCCAGCACTTTCTGACCTGTCCCAGCAGCACGGACGAGAAGGCCTGGAAACAGGGCAAGCGGAAGGCCGAGAAAGACGAGATGGTGGGCGCCAACTTCTTCCTGACTCTGAGCACGCCCCCCCGCCGCGGCCCTCGACCTGCAGGAGGTGGAGAGCAAGATTGACGGCTTCAAGTGCTTCACCAAGAAAATGGACGACAGCGCGCTGCAGCTCAACCACACGGCCAACGAGTTCGCGCGCAAGCAGGTGACAGGCTTCAAGAAGGAGTATCAGAAGGTGGGCCAGTCCTTCCGCTGCCTCAGCCAGGCCTTCGAGCTGGACCAGCAGGCCTTCTCTGTCGGCCTGAACCAGGCCATCGCCTTCACCGGAGATGCCTATGACGCCATCGGCGAGCTCTTTGCCGAGCAGCCCAGGCAGGACCTGGACCCGGTCATGGACCTGTTAGCGCTGTATCAGGGGCACCTGGCCAACTTCCCCGACATCATTCACGTTCAGAAAGGTAAAGCCTGGCCGTTAGAGCAGATGGTCTGGAATATGTTGTTGAGGCTGAAAGGGATGATTTGGACAGAGATACCCTAATCTGTTTCAGACTGTTGTCCTACAGGTTGGGAATCAAACAGGGATGTGGACAGCTGGTCTCTTTTTCTGAGTGTATGAGGGATTGTGGGCAGGTAGCTGCCTCAAAGTATTTCCAGACAGGGAGTGGGTTACTCTTCAGAGAAAGTTCTGAGAGTACTTCTTAGGACGGTGCTATCATTTTAGAGTTTGAATAGTTGGGTAACGAGCTTCTGGGATCTGTAATCTTGTGCCTAGGGTAGAATTAGAAGAGGACCCAAACCCTGTTAGGCATCCATTTGAACACTGTGGGGTGACTTAGTGATGGGTTTCAGGAAGCATGGAAATAATGGGGAAGGATGGATATCTGCAAATAAAGGTCGGATATCTGCAAGGTAAGGTAAGTCCTATTTCTGCCTTCCACACCTCTCAGTCCCTGGCTTGATGGAGAAATTAGAATCACTTCTCTGAGGTTCTAGCCGGGGCTGTTTAAAAATGTCCTGTGTAGGCTCCTTGCTTGCAGCCTTTGTAGAATGAGGTGAGTGGCTCACTCTCACTGCAGGAAGTTTGAAGAAAATTAATCCCTTTAAGTTCAGTCATTTTGAGTTTGGAGTCTGTTAACTAAATTTAAAGAGTATTATTTAGGAAAATGATGTGGGAAACTACAAAGAATGCACAGAATGTGAATATCATGTCTGAGGGTGGTGCTTCTGTATTCCAGTGAGTGAGCTGCCCAACTGTCAGAGCTTGTTTGATTAGTAGTTGTTAGTGTCTCTAACTTCTGTTAAAGCGCTGAAATTTGGAGATTTTTTTTTTTTTCTCTTTGAAAATGAGTTAGAGCTGTAAAGCCTGGAGTGAGAGAACTGGGAGGAGTTGGAGTTAGGGAGGTGGTCTTGGCCTGTGAATGTCCGGTTCAGTGTGGGTGTGGGAGGAGGGAGGGAGTTACCTAGTCTAACTTCCTGTGATGGTGGAAACCTCTTTGGATCACAAAGAGGTTTTTGATCCAGAGTTTGGCCTTCAGTAAGGAGGTGCTCACTGCCTTTCTAGGTGGGCCAGTCCAATTATGAACAACCCTGATCTTTGATATTCTCTTCCTTGCACTGAACTAAAATTTGCCTCTCTTGTTTGTCTTTCTCTTCGCTGGAACCACACAAAGTAAGTCTATTCCTCATCCACACATTAGCCCTTTCCACTTTTGGAGACAGCAGTTTTGCTTCCTTTCTTTCTGCTGTTCTCCTCCCACTTCCAGGTGTTGGACTGGTATTACCAAGGGGTGTGTGTGTCGGGGGGGGGGTCCTTCCAAAGCCTTGAGTGTGTTGTTGGCCCTGCTGCAATGCAGCATCTTAAAGCATCTGCGGTACTAATTTTGGTAGAAAGTAGTAACTTTCTTGGCAATTTACATTTTGTAAATGCAGTCTGAGATGGAATTCGATGTTTGAGCAAGGGTACTGAACCTGCAGCTGCATTCCTCCTGCCTTTTTGTGTGTAAATTGCTGTGATTCCTTGACTTTTTTGGCTGGTGCCGGTGGGTGGGACTGACTCTTTGAGCCTTTAATATAAGACCTTATATTTAAATACCATTGTGTTGTATCAACCTGGGCCCATGCTGCCTTTTTACATATTTTGTGAGTTTATGCAAATAGTTGGTAAATAGTTGAAAGGGTGGAGACAGGTACAGACATCTGCAGGCAGACACAGGTGACTGGCTGCTACTGGGCTGCTTCTGTTCATTCACTGACTTCACTGTCACTTAGACCACACACAGCCTTGCCAAGTGTCCTGCTTTTGGAACTATTGATTAGAAAAGGTATGGTGTTTGTTCTAAGGTCGATTTTGAGTTTAAGCAGTAGATTTTGTAGTTTATTAAACTGTGTAGTTTGTTTATTATTACTATTTTTAAATCCTAGAACTAAAATCGTTTTCTATTTCTTGGGATTTGAAAACCTTCATTAAAGCCTGTATCATTTTATGTTGTTTAAACAGATTCAGGGGCACTAAACAAAATCTTTAGGAAGTTTCAAAAAGAAAATCAGTTAATGTTAAGTATAGTTTTTTCTGCTGTAGCCTTAGTGTATAATGTACAGGGAGTGTGTGTCCCTAGATGACATGTCTTTAGAATGTACTTGCCATTTTAAAGCTATAGTGTGCGATGCATAAGGCTGAAAGGATTTGCCTGCAACCAGTTATTATCAAGGATGCTAGTGTTGGCGATTTTTAGGACTACAGATGGAACAGATCTCATAAGTTAAGCTAAAGCTTTTTGAACATGTTCTGAGTATTCAGAACTTGTGGTTGTAAAGAGCAGCTTCCCCCTCCCACCCCGACTTAACTACACAGTTGCTATTGGAATGAATCTTTTTTTGTCTGAGCACTTGGGGATTTTGTTGACAGGTTTGTTTTTTTCCTCTAAGGTCTCAAAGTGTAATCATATGAAAGATTTTTACCATGACTTTTGAGAGGAAAGCAAAATGAAAAAAATGATAAAAAAAAATCTATAAGAAGCTTAAGCTATCTTTTGTGTAAGTATTTGGTTCAAAGTTTACATTTCAATTTAGGGAGAAAATTCAAAATAATTATTTCAGCTCTTAAGTTCTCATTGTTTACAGGAAGAGAAAAAGCAGTTTCAGTACTTCTGCATTTTATGTGTTCTACCATATGTTAGGTCCACATTCAGATGAGACAGAAATGATTAGATAGTGCTTTTTAATGACTAACACAGTTAAGAAGGGGAGCTAATTAAGTTTTTTTCCCCTTAATTCCTGGGGGAAAGGATAGGAACATTAGTCTCCTCTGAGCTTTTTTCTTATCTGGGAGATTGCTGTGGTCAGCGTTTCCAGTGTTCTAAACCTGTGCTCTTCGATGCTGGGTCTGTGAGCCACATCTGACCACTTGAATGTAAGTTAATTAAAATAAAATAATGTAATTCAGTTCCTTAATCACATTAGCTGTATTTCATGTGCTTTGTAGCTAGTGGCTACCACGTTGGACAACAGATGCAGAAGAGTCCATTTCATCACTGCTGAAGGTTCTGCTGTAGTTCAACTGCCAGTCCTGTCAGATTTCTCCAACAGTTGACAATCTTTGTACATACTCTCCAGATAGTTTTCTTTTCACTTGGTCATCTCATGGCATCGCCTCCTTTCTACATGGGCTTAAGTAATAAAAACTGGGAGGGGAAGCAGGCCCTGCCAGACCCCTTTCTACAGAATGTCCCAGGCATTCACCCAGGTGACTAATATTTCTGCGGCGTGAGGGTGTTCATCTGCTTTGCATCTTGCCTTCATCATTTATTCAGAAAATACAGCTGGTTTCAGAAAGGTCGTCTGAGTCTGGTGAGGAACCAGCTCCAGAACACATGTACCCTTAAATGTGGTCGACTGGCTTTTTTCTGACTATACTCAGTACTAAAACCATTGCTTAAACTTAATAATGGTTTAAGTGTAAGTATGTTCTGCAGAAGCAAAGAAAGCCATATGGTTTCTTTAGCTGAAAGAGAATGCTAGGATTTTTATTTTTTCATCACCTCATGGAGTCTTAGATAAACAGACCTATTTTGGTTAATGGAATTGAGTGTAGGAAGAAGGCAGTTTGCTATAGTCTGAAGTATAGTAGATGGGAATTCAGAAGCTGTTTGAATTTTATTCATACTTTCCTCTGTCTTAACAGGAGTCCCTTAAATTCTTTGTTCACAGAGAGTTCATTGACTCCTGACTAGTCACATGTCTGTCACTGCCAAGCTTTGTAACCCTGTGGGTCTGATTTTCTTTTTTTTGAAATGGTAGCATTTTATCTCCTCCCGTTTATCATCCCTGCCTGTAGTATGCCTTTAGAATGCTGATGTTGGCCAGTTTGGGGTAGTACATAGAATTGATTTCACCATCAGTTTCTTAGGTTATTCAGTTTTGTTCCAAAGGTATGATTAATCTCTAATATTTAATAAAGCTTAATCTGGATGGCAGTGAGTTGTTGTGTTTTAAAAGCTTTAGGCTTTTCTCCTGGGGAATATCGTGAAAGGGAAAGACTTTAAATGTGGGGTGACGAGAAATGTTAGTTTTATCTTTATTTAGGAACGTGGACTACACAGCAGAAGGGAGTCCCTTAAAAGGAAACTTCTTTATTCCTGAGAAAATGTATAGGTCATGTGAAAGTGATTTGTTGATAAAATGTAGTGTGAGTCTGTGAAGCAGGGTGGCAAAACTAGGTAAACAAACAGGCAGTCCTGTTTTCTGTACTCCTAAATTAAATATGCCGGGTTTCCACATTGCCCTCTCTAAATGTTCCAGATGGAGCCTTCTTTTCAACAAAACACAGCCCAGGGACGTCAGGCATGGTACACCAGTTGTGGGCCTGTCCGTTCTTTGGGGTAGAGTTTCACCATTGTGCTTCTTTCACCACGTGTAGGGTCCGTCTTATGTCCCTCAGACATTAATTAAAGATAGCTAGAGTCCTGGCAGGGCACCCAAGGTAGGGCTGGGCCACAGTTAGCCCTTCCCTGTCTGCTCCCCATTCTTCTGTGACTAAAAATAGACCTGAGAGGGTGGTGCCAGGAATACAGAGAAAAGGTCTAATAAGCGGGCTGTTTACAAACTCGTCCTTATTTTGAAACTTCTGGGCTAGCAATTGAGGTCCTTCATTTTTTTGTTTTGTTTTGTTTTGTTTTAGCTCCGCCTTAATTGAACCCGTTTCTCCTCTCCCATACTTCTATCTCGATCTGTTTTTTTTTTTAAAGATTTTATTTATCCATTTGTCAGAGAGAAGAGTGTGCGCACACGCACGAGGGAGAGCACGAGTAGGGGGAGGGGCAGAGGGAGAAGCAGACTCCCCGCCGAGCAAGCAGCCTGATGTGGGACTGGATCCCAACACTGTGAGATCATGACCTGAGCCGAAGGCAGCGGCTTAACGGACTGAGCCACCCAGGCATCCCAACCTCTAGCTATTTTTAAA